CTGTCCTGTTTTTACCCTGTCAGTCCTCTCTGTTTTTACCCTGTCAGCCCTCTCGGTTTTTACCATGTTTCCACTTTTCAAGTTTACCCCGTCCTGTCTTTACCCTTTCAGTCCTCTCTGTTTTTACCATGTTTCCACTTTTCAAGTTTACCCCGTCCTGTCTTTACCCTTTCAGACCTCTGTGTTTACCATGTTTCCACTTTTCAAGTTTTTTTAACTCCCTCCCCCCCGGGGGTACCCACCCCTCTAATGTAACCTACCCCCTCGCCATACCTACCACAAATCTAATCTGTTGTGGTACACGCACTCTAATTATATGCTACTTCTCCCAACTCTCCATCCTTAACCTACACGCACACTGATTTCCACAGCGATGTTTCAGAAACCGAAAGCTCCAGGTTGGACTAGATACGGCGACGATATTATTCTGTTCGGGTTAAGATGTCTGTTCGGGCGAAGAGATGGTCGGGCTTTTCTGGATGTGAATGGTTGTATACGACCAGAGAACGGGAAAATGTGCCCTTAGACTGGGAAGCGTCGATGCTGTTGATCCTGGAGAAGCCTGTGGTTTCTCCAGGACCAGTGCTTTTTCCCCTGTCATGCATCAAAATGTCAGTGTTTGAGGCCCTTCCTGGTTAGACTGAGGGTATTTTTTAACCACCAGTTCACAAGAACCCAAGCAGGTATCTTACCAATATGCTTGACCAGGTGGGTCCTTGAACCATAAGGCATTTCGGTTCGAGCCTGGGCGGGTAGCTAAAGCGGAAGGCCGATTTGAAAAGGTGCACTTGCAGATAGGTTCACGAGCCTTGGTGGAAGGTAATAGCTTTTTTTTCAAAGTCCAGGTGGTTGTAGAGGCTGGCCACCAGGCGTATGACAGGCCCGTCAGCAATTGGCCATTTGATCGTCCCGCTGTATTGCCGTGTGAGCTGGCAAACCATCCCTGTTTCTGCAGCACGTGGTTCCCGGATGAGAGTTTTGCATTTCTCTGATCGGCATCAGCGTATCACTGGTATGGACCAAAACAAATTGTTTGTTCGCTGGCGAGTTGTTGCCTCCTGTCGCCCTAATCGTTCACCACCGTCTTCTCCCCCAAACGTTATGCATCTGTGTTGTAATCGAATACAACGCAAAGGTTGCTTTCTATTCGAATACAACGCATGTGTTCTCCCCCAAACGTCTTCTCCCCCAAACGTCTTCTCCCCCAAACGTTTTGCCGCGTGCGTTCTATTCAAATTTGCAAAGTTTTTCGAGAACTGGAATACAATGCATATGCCTTATGTTCGTGGGAAGACGGTAGTGATGTTCGTGGGAAGACGGTAGTGTGATCGTAACTACTTATTTCAAGTTATTTGTTGGGTGGTTACCTTCCTACTCATTTTTGCAGCTCCAAGTCGAAGAGGAAAGATGCCCTTGCCGGTTACTCGGCAGTTGAAGAATGTCAGTTGTGTTCCTTAGACTCTGTGTGCGTGCGTCTGCCTCTGTTCTTGTGTCCAACTCCGAGTGCTTTTGTGCACGGTACACCCGCTACTTTCTTCACTCGAATAGAACACCCGATCGTTATAGCTGTATGTGGTGCCACTTCCAGTCTAGACACAGCGATGATGGCCGCAATAATGGCCAGGCATCCGATTCGGGTGAAGATGCTAGTTTGCGAGGAATGGTCACATCGGTCATGATCCAACATTATGATCGTTGGCAGTTAAAAAAGCGATCATGTCAACTTGGCCTTGGCGGCACATGGATTTTGTTCGGTAGACAGTGGATGCTGACTCCTAACATTTTTGAGTTTTCCCTTTTTTGTTGTATTTTTCAGGTACATGTGAACATCGATGGGCAGCCGCCCTACGACGTGAAGGTGGACCGGGAGTTTTTCTTGTCTACGGGAGACAAGTACAGAGCAACCAAGATCTGATCTCTCTGCCTCTCTGCCCACCTGCCTCTCTCTCTCTCTCTCTCTCTCTCTCTCTCTCTCTCTCTCTCTCTCTCTCTCTCTCTCTCTCC